CAGTCAGAGGTAAAACCTTGGAAGAAGTGGCGGAGGAGTTCTAGAGGAAAGATAAAAACCTGTGGCATGATATGTTAAGGGACCTATGCTTAAAGAAAGCCCAGGAGGAGAAGTTTTTTCATGTCAGAGATAAAGATAATATTTTTGCCGAAAGCAAGTATTCACGTCGCCTGTGTATTCATCCAGATATTCTTCACGAGGAATTCAAATGTTACCAGTCCATGGGATCCTTGCCAGCAGTCCGTTCTATTTTAACTTCTGGTTTTCCAGGTATTTCATATTCTAAAGGCCATGAAGGCCTAGACGAAAGCCAGATTAACGACTTAGTCGATGGAAAACTATTTCCACTGCTCAGGGTGCTGGATCTTAAACAATATATAGTTTCTTTACCATTTGGAGAAATAAAATTAGTTCACTCAAGGTACCTTGCTTTTTCCTATTGTGGTTATGGGAAAGTTTCCATGCCTAAAACATTACCTGATTTTCTTGGGTATCTACAGACCTTAATTGTAGATAGTGACAATGTACATCTACCAGAGGAAATATGGAAGATGACACAATTAAGGCATCTCTTGTTCAGGAAGTGTTATTTGCCATGTCCTACTAGATCACCAATAGCTGGGGAGAATTTTGTTTTAGGAAACCTTTTAACACTTTCAAAAGTGAGTGCTTCCAGCTGTACCAAGGAGGTCTTTGAAAGAGTTCCAAATCTAATCAAGTTAGGCATTTGTAGCGAAGATTACGAAAATATCTCTCTGGGTAATTTGGTAAATCTTCCTCAACTTGAGACCTTGAAAATCATAAATATATATAATCGTGTTAGAGTGCCGATAAATTTCACTTTCCCATCAAAAATAAAAAAGTTAACTTTAGTGAATTCCAAAATTGCTTGGAAACACATGACTATTGTTGGTTCCATGCCCAACCTTGAAGTGCTCAAACTGATAGACTTTGGAAGTAAGATAGAATGGGAGAAAGAATGGGAGCCAACCGAAGGAGAATTTTGCAAACTAAAATTTCTGCTGCTTAGTACTGGTTTTCTAGTGCAATGGAGAGCCAATAACACTTTCACAAGCCTCGAGTGCCTAATGCTTAGGGAATGTTACAACCTAAAGGAGATCCCTTGTAGCTTTGGAGATATACCAACTCTTCAAATCATTGACTTGGATGATGCTAGCCCTTCAGCTGTGTTTTCGGCAAAGCAAATACGAAAAGAACAAGAGCATTTCGGAATTTATAGCCTCCAAGTTCGTGTCAAGAAGCTGTCCAAATTTCCACAGGTAAAAGCGATTCCTTGAGCCATACTTGCTGTCGCTCGTATCTGATCATTTCTCTACCTCAAAAATATCTACGGATCTTTATAATGAAATTTTAGCAAGCATGACCATTTTTTCTCTCTGTTTTTTCAAACCACTCTAGATTTGTCTTACCAATAAAGAAAATAACACAAAATTTAGAAGGGCCACGGCCGGACCTCAAAAAAAAAAAAAAAGCTTATGATCATTTTACTGACATGTCTCTCCTGCTCGTGGTCACTTTCATTC